GTGTAAGAATGTAGTGACATGAAATATAAAACACGTCCTCCTATTGGACAATTGTGAGAGGGAGAGACAGTTCAAGCACCCCTTTTAGATGAACTATGGGACTAATTGGTTCTTTTCTCCCTGCTTTTGATTCCTCTAATTCATTTCTCTATTATAAGGATAGTCACCTTCTGGCCTTCCAGCTTTTGCTGGACTGGAAGGTCCATCCTCTCCACTGACTATGCTGGCTAAAGCTGATGGGAAATGAAGTTCAGTGTCATAATTCACTTGGGAAGATGAGAAGCTAAGTGGTCAATTAGTAGTCCAAAAGTTGAGAGCCAACAGATCAGTCAGACTCCAGGAACCACAAACCAATAGGGGCACACATGGAAAAGTAGTCTGGATTCAGGAACAGGGCTGAGTCTGCAGGAGGTCTCTCACAGAGTAGGTGATCAACATTGTTTGCAGTAACCATAGAGCATCTTGCCGCCTGCCTTATCTTCAGTGCTAATAGCTTGGGCTACACCAACAGAACTGTAGCTGTGCTGAGACTCTTCAGAAACATTTAAGTCCTGTTAGTATCTCTGAGGAAAACCCAATATTCAGCCATATCTGGAAGAACCCAAATTTCCTGTCCTTACACTTCTAGATGCTTTCTAGTTTGTAGAGGAAGCATTTTACAGTGACCTAGGACCTTATCACACGCTGGCCACGAAGCGAAAAGTAACCGAAATAAGAATAAATTCAGTTCTATACCGAAATGAACTGATTCCGAAAGCTCCCTTGTACTTCCCCAAAAAACTGAATGTCAAAAGATCTCAATTCGTTACGGATTAGCTCTGGGTTCTGTCGAGTTTCGGTGCAACGTCGTGTGTAAACACAGAGAAACAATACGGATTAGCTCCGGGTTCTGTCGAGTTTCGGTGTAACGTCATGTGTAAACACGGGGAAATAATATGTATTAGCTACGGATACCCTTTGGATTAGGTCTGCTTTAGACCCCGTGTGATAAGGTCCCTAGTAATGGTCAGAAGTTTAAACACAAAGGCACCCAGTGATAGCCAACATTAGAGGTAGATGTATCAATTAAATATTTCTAGTCCATTCCATTGTGTGTGTGTGTGTGTGTACATGTTACTCATAAATAATTTCCATCCTAATTCCATATCCATCTGCCATTATTATTTCCCAATTTAGCATGAAAAGTCTGTGCAGTGGTGGAGGGTTTATGTACAAATACAGTACACATTCACATATCAAAATTTGTAAAAGTCTTCCCTCTGAAAATACTCATCTATCGATACTTTGTTGTTACACCTTTTGAGATGAAAACGGCCACAGAACATTCCAGAAGTTTGAAAGCTAGATAATTATGTTCTGATTCAGAAGGTATTAATCCTGTCAATTTGGAAATGAATTTGCAAAGAGCTAATTTCTTTATCCCAGAGCCTGGTCCTTGGCAAATACAGAACTGCAATTTGATATGCCTTGTTGTAGTGATTTTTAAAGGAGTCAATCTCATGGTGTATGTGTGGAGAGATTAAAGGTAATAATTTCCCATGATTATCTCAACTGGGACAAAGGAGCCAGTCCTCCTCTGCTGTCCTTTGTGCCTGATTAATGTTTTTTAAAGACCTGGACCCATCCCTATCTGAAAGGTCTGGTCTACATATCCCATCATTCTCAACCAATACAGTCTTGATGGCTGGACATAAAGGGAGTTGGTGAAGGCTATTTTTAGCTTAAGAGCCAGCATGGTGTAGTGGTTTGAGCATTGGACTACAATTCTGGAGATCAGGGTTCGATTCCCCGCTTGGCCATGGAAACTCTCACTGGGTTACCTTGAGCAAGTCATACACTCTCAGGCCCAGAAAACCCTGTGACAGGTTTTCCTTAAGATCACCATAAATTGGAAATGAAGGCACATAACATCAACAACACAATTATTAGCTTGATAATGCTGAAAATACAGTCATGAAATTCAGGTCTGATGTTTTAAACTGCACCTAATACAGGACTTCAGGATCACCAAGAATGGAAATCATTTCAAATTTCAATGCTGCACTCCTACATCTACACTCAGCAGCCTTGATGAATGAGCTTGCCAAATTCATGGTTCCAGCTCAGTGGAAATGACAAAAATCAGCATTGTGCCTAGAGCAAAAATGTTCATTTCCCACAAACAGAGCAGCTGATGACCTTTCATTTTCAACCTGAAGGACTCATCTACACCTTAGTATTCATGCAAGGAATCTTGTCCATATGCTCCAGTTGTGAATATCCTCAGTTTTTATTTCTAAATGAACATGATTTTTTTCATATTGGGGAAGGTAACAGTGTTATCATTAGAGGAAGATTTTTTTTCCAGATTTTGTTTACCTGTATATCATTAATATGCTACATTTTCATTAATGTTTGAAACAAATGGATTGCAAACTAAATTTGTGTTGTTTGTGTGGCAGAGATTTTCAAGAAAAGGAGATGGGAGGAAAGAGAGAGGGGAGAAGGAAATGCTATGAGATTAACCAATTGCTATTGCCTTTTTTCAAAAAACCTGCCCCAATATTCTTGGGGAGTAAACCAAGGGAGTAAACAAGTTTGTAGACTGGCTCTGGGGCGTTGCAGACTGACAGAAATAGTGCAAATTGAGTCCACTTTTAGGGTTAGGGTTAGTGCTAGGGAATCATGAGAATTGCTTTTTTTCTGAGACACTGAGCCTTCTCTGTCAGAGAGCTCTGGTGCCACAATAAAATACAGTTCCCATGATTCCCTAACCCTAACCCTAAAAGTGGACTCAATTTGCACTATTTCTGGCAGTCTGCAACCCCCCTCTGTTATCTAGTATGTAAGCTGAGACTGTTGTCACTGGTGGAAAAGACTGCAGTCTTCCTTCATGACTGTGTGCTGTGTTTTCATGTTGGGAGAGATATTTTTCTCAAAGCCCAGCCCAGAAAGAAAAATGGAAGAGATAGTAAACCGTTCTTCACTTCTCTGCTTTTGTTTACCATTAGAGATTAAGGAGAGTGCAGGAGATAAAGCATTTGTTTGTATGGCTGTGTGTACCAATAGGATAAATGTATAGAATGATGGCTCCATCTGAATGATATGTGTGGACTGATGGAGATGTGAATTGGGGAGAGTGTGTGTAGGGCTGTTTGTGAGCAGACAGTGGATGGGTAAATAGATGTGAATGGTAGTGGATGGGTGCTGGTGTTTGGTTGGTTGGAAGGTAGTGCATGAACGAGTATCTGTGTGAGTTAGAGGTGCATGGATAGATGGAAGTATAGGGAGAATGTGTAGATGGATTTGATAATTTTTTAGTGGCTTTGAGTGGCTTTAATATTCTGGAATTTTATAAGTACATTTTTATAAAAAGTCTTGATAAGCTGATGTGGAATGCAGAGTAGAATGGGTGGGTGCCCATGTGTGTATAAATTTGGAAATTTGTAGATGAAGTGTCAAACAGTGATACATGAATGGCTATGCAAATGGGCCAATCCTGCTCACTGTTGGCTTTGGACACATTTGGTTCTGGTCACTATCAGAGAGAGCGTGGCTTTCATCTCTTGATTTTAACTCTACCTGGCTCAGTTCCAAAATGCTTCAATTTAGCTGTTGTAGATCCAGTGCACTTGAAATCCTTTTAAATTAACCCCTTTGTGTTCTTTTTTCTTGAAAAAAATATAGGATGTTAAGTAGCCATAATGCTACAACTGGCAATAGTTTTATCATTATCATGCAACACTCAAGTTCCATAGAAAAAGTTCTTATCCCTGTGACCCTTTCATTCAACCATTAGAAAGGTGCATTTATGGAAAAAATGCTATAGGTGATGCGGAAGCATGAAAAAGAGGAAAAACCTATCTCTTCCCCAAATTGCAGATAACAGATAGTAACAGATATGTGAAGTTTATTTTTTTATACATGGATTTTTTTACACAGACACTGTGAAGCAGATTTTTAGAACATTTTTTCTGTGAAATACATTTTTTATATATGGTTTCCCTCCAGTTTAGAATTCTCCTTTGGACGTGAGCTGTTTTTTAATTATGCCTCTGCAAATAAAGCTTGACAAACAGCTGTTTCTGTTTGTATTTGTATATGTTATAAACCAGTTCCTTTAAAAAAAAAAATCAGAGAAGGAATTCTATCTATGCCAAGTTCTCCTCTGCCAAATTTTAGCTGGAGTCCTTAATCCTATGGTTGTAGAGCAAATCTCGAATATAAAGTTTATAGAAGAATTGCTGACAGGCTGCAATGTACAATTACTGCAGGCTTCTGTAAATATAGATCCCTTTATGGCATATATATACATGTAGTATATGTGTATGCATAAGCCACATGCACTGTTTTTATTAGCCTTGAGGTGTTTAGTGCTTGACATATTTTTGGTAAAGTTAAAAATAGCATAGCCTTGAACACATTTTAACAGAATTCATAATTAAGAAAAATGCACCTCTCCTTGAGACTTTCAAGATTTGAGGTTTAAATAAGTCTTTCAAATCAAAATGTGAATCTCTAGCTTTCTGCAGACCCTGACTGTGTTTCCTCCCTGTTGAATCTCATTTTCAGTTTGAAATCTCTCCACTTTCTTTCATTTCTTTGGATTGCTCCTTTCCTGAAATCCCACTGTCATTTCTAATCTCCCTACCACTGACCATGGCCTGCTCTAAATTCCTACATCACCTCCCTTCTTCATTTTGTACTTTTTCTATCCCCTATCACCTTCTTTCAAGATCCTTTGCCTGTCACATTTCTATGATTTGATCAGCTTACCCAATGGCAGCCAGAAATTCTTCTGCCTGACCACCTTTCTGTGACCTGATGGGACCAATAATTTCCAGGGGTTCCATCATTACCACTGCAAATAAATATAATTTACAACAAAGTTTGGTATGTAGGTCAACTTAGAGATATTTTGCCCAGTGATTTATCAGGCCACTTCAGTGTTTTCAGGAAAGGAATAAAAGGTTAAAGTGATTCTTAAGATTCTCAAGAGTAACCTATCAATTCATATGGGAGCCAGCATGGTGTAGTGGTTTGAATGTTGGACTGTAACTCTGGAGTCCAGGGTTCAATTCCCAGTTCAGCTATGAAACCTACTGGGTGACCTTGGCCAAATCACAGGCTTGATACCACTTTAATTTCCATGACTCAATGCTATGGAACTTTGAGATTTGTACATTTCTGAGATATTTAGCATTCCCTCTCAGAAAGCTTTGAGAGCCAGCATGGCATAGTGGTTTGAGTGTTGGGCTATGACTCTGGGGACCAAGGTTCAATTCTCATCTCTACTGTAAAACCCACTGGATGACCTTGGGCAAGTCACATGCTCTCAGCCTCAGAGGAATGCAATGGCAAACATCCTCTGAACCACTCTTGCCAAGAAAATTGGATAATAGGCTTGCCTTAGGGTCACTATAAGTCAGAAACAACTTGAAGTCACACAGTGGCAGCAACAACAAACATCAACCTATCAATGGCTAATCATAATGTCTATGCATTCATAGCAACTTATGAGAAACTGTCATTCTTCAATAACATGATCTTCATGTCCCTTGCTCCCCGCTCACCTATCCTGTCAGTAATGCATCCTTGGAGCCATCATTTTTCAATAACGGAAGATCACATTATTGAAAACGTTACTGATAGAATAGGCAAACGGGGAGGCAGGGACGTGTCCATGACCCTTTACACACACTTTACAGACGTGACAAAGGTGTGACTGTGTCAACCCCAATCAGTGTTATTGACAATTTAAAGGCACTTTAAAGACACTTTAGCTGCCCATGTGATCATCTGCAGAGTCCTCTCACACTGCTGTGAAATGCAAGTTGGAGCATGAACACTGACATACCTCTGCACCTTAGGAATTTATCACACACAACTTTTAAACTGCTGTTAAAGTTGGAGAATAGCACCTTTGGCAATACTTATCACACAATCTCACCTCCAACCCATCACTGCAATGCCTCTGAAGTATGGTTAGAGTGCACCTTGTCACTGAGTGGGGAAAATACCAATAAGCTCCCAATCATGCTTCTGTGCCATGAATCCTTAGGTGTGATAAATTCCTCTCACAACAGTTCCAAGATTGGGCAGTTATGTGGTGCCAGTCTCCTTTTCTCCCCCACTCTCCTTCCTCTTCACTATTTTTAAACAAGCTGGTTTTGTTTTCTTTTTCCCCCACTTTCTTTTCGTTTCTTTCATCTTTGTTTCACTAAATTGCATTGTTATAATTCTGGAACTGCGTTACATTTTTTTGAAACGCATACTAGGAGGGCATTGAGTTCCTATAGGCATACTGGGTAGGGCACTGAGTCACATCTTGAGTGTCTAAATTGGGAGAAAAGAGGGATATAAACAAATAATAATAATATAACAACAACAACAATAGGGCAGGGACCCAGGGTTCAGGGAGAGTGCAGAAGAGAATGTAAGCGACTGTCATAGAGAGAAATGGCCCCTTTCACAACTATCTGTAGCACACAAGGCAAATGCAATTGCCCAAGAAGCCCCTACTTAGCATGCAAGGAAGACCAAAACAATGAGAAAAAGGGAGCACAGGTAAGCCTGACTTAGCAGACAATATTAACAAACACCTAACCTATATACAGTAGGTTAAGTAGTTCCATAGAAAAGCACCCAAAAGTATGCAATGCTGGGATGAAGTGGTGTTGCTATGGATAGCAATTTCCATGGTGAACAGGCAGAAACAGCACTTTATTAAATGTTTCCATCTTCCCTAAAGTGAAATTTAGTTGTCAATCTAAATATTTACTCTCAGGTATTTGTAATGCTAAATTTATTACAGAGGCTTGTCAACACTTCCTCAAATTTGGTTGGAACTAGCGAATGTTAAGAATTGTAAAGTTTCTTTCTACTGGTTCACACATCAAAAGACACATGGCTAAATCTCCCCTTTTGGTTCTTATTTGTCTATTTCAGATCATTATACCCTGAGAAAAGTTACTGCCTCAAAGTAATTAATTATCTAATTCATTATGAAACCCTCTTTCAGTCTTATTCATTGTAGATAAAACTGCAATAAACAAACAAACCATGCCCCTTTCCAGTTAATTGTTACTTTAAATGTTTATAAAAAAATGTTAGGATTATTAAGATAATGGTGTAAAAAATTTAAACACCACACTCACATGCTTAAAAATGACTTTATGTAGAAGTAATAAAGTAAATTATACCTGCTTCTTATGCCCACACCTGGACTGTTGTTGTTGTTGTTGTTGTTGTTGTTGTTGTTGTGTACCTTTAAGTTGTTCCCGACTTATGCTAACCCTAAGGCAAACCTATCATGAGGTATGTGTGTTTTTTGTCAAGATATATTTAAAGGAAGTTTTCCATTGCCTTCTACTTTTTTGCACAAGAAACAGCACCAAAAACAAACAAAAAACAGAAATATTTTTCTGTAACAAAATTCCATGTGCATTTGTAACTGTCCTAGGACCTTATCAAACGCTGGCCACGAAGTAAAAAGTAAGTGAAAGCTAACCGAAGTAAGAATAAATTCAGTTCTATACCGAAACGAACTGAATTTCGCCTGCGCAGCCATTGCGCAATGATTCCAAAAGCTCCCTTGTACTTCCCCGAAAAACCGAATGTCAAAAGATCCCCTTTCACTTCGGATCACGGAAAAAAAAATACGTATTAGCTTTGGATTGCCTTTGGATATGTGTAAACACACGGAAAAAAATACGTATTAGCTTTGGATACCTTCTGCTTGGGACCCCCGTGTGATAAGGTCCCTAGTAAATTCCAGCCAGTATTTACTTCACAGAAAATATATACCATGTGCAAATTTTGCAGAGAATAAGTCCAAAATGAGACTTCCTTTCAGTGGGGAAGAAAATTGCTAAAAATTATTCCTTGCTTTCTTAAAGAATGAAATGAGTTAAAAATTAAATCCCTAGAAAAAGATTTCTGGCAAAGTTCTGCAAAGCCTTGATACTCCAGATAAATCCAGCAGACATGCTGCTAATATTTGTGAGTGGATCTGAAATCCATCTGAATTGTTGTGTCTTTCTGACTGTTGTCTTCTTACCACTGATAATAATGAGTAAAATAATTAATTTTATCTGTGATGTTTTTAAATGAAAGGGCGTGGAGTTGGATAAAGAAAGAAAAATTGAAAACATAATGAATCTCATCCCCTCCCCCCCGAAAAAGACCCCAAATTCTTAATTGTTTTTTCAATAAATCTCTGCATTTGAAAATTTGAGTTTTTAATGGAAAAGACATTAAGATGTAATTCTGTATACACTTATCCAAGAGCAGGTACCATTTAATACCATGGGACTTATTTCTGAATAACTACATAGACACTATATGGCTGTATGCTCACCATTAAACTTAGTAGGTCTGAATAAACATGCATAGTTTCAGGTTACATGTTTCTAGTGCTCTGGAACATTTCTAAGCAATGACTGGAGAACCTAATTCCAGAACTGGATGATTGCCAACCCTTTGTATTCTGTTTAAAATCATATTTTTAAAAGTATAAATCTCTCTGTTAGGCCTGTTGTATGTAGGGAATTTCCACTCCTAGTTATAATTTACTAGTGTGGCAACCTGAAATTATGGAATGGTTGGGACACACATACATCCAAACCACAAGGCTTTAAACATCCTCTTGCATTTCACCAGATAATTTATTTTATGTATGCACCAAGGCTGTAACTACAGCTTGGGTTAAGAGACAAATTGGCCTCCTTTAGATCTGTGTTCCAAAGTCTGAAAGCTGCTACCAGTGCTATGATTTGGATCTTTGCCAGCCTCCCCAAAGTGAACATGAGCAAGTTTCAAACAAGCTAGCAAGGCTCCCAGATGTTGTCAACCACTCTGTTACTTGGTCATGAAAAGGATTTCATGATATGTGAACAGTGTGATTCCAGACTGAGGTTTGATGGGCTCATCCCAACCTGTATGTCCTGGGCCATCCATGGGACAAATGTAATTTGTATTGCAGAGTCCTTATTCCTGGGTCTGGGGGCAGGGGAAGACAGTGCTTTGAAAAGTCTGCATAGAAAAAATTGCACATTTCACATGCGTGTGAAATACTGCCTAAATGTCAATGGGCAGGAGATGCATTCAAGGAACATGTACAATTTATTTATTTTACTTCTGGATTTATACATCCCACCTTTCTCTCAGAACAGGGACTCAACATGGTCCTTGGTGGCTCAACAAAATTGAAACAAATGCAAATTATTTTTTCTTTGCCAAAAAACCCCTGTGGATCACCATGAAGGTCACCGTAAGAACAAGAAGAACAACAAACAGGTAAAAATATACAAATGTGATCCTGTTAAAACAACAATAAAATGTGCTAGAATGTGCTAGAATCACAGCTGAAAACACAACACAAAAGCAAACCAAAGCCAGTGTAAATCATTAAAAAGACTTTTCCTCAACAACTTCTAAAAGCCTGCTGGAGTTAAAAAACAAAACTAAACTAAATGTTGCCTTCTTGTAGAAGATCAACAAGGGAAGCCAGATCAAGAGTCTAGCTTCTCTTGAAAAGGAATTGTATAATCTGGAAGTAGTCACTGTGAAAACCCTCAAGTGTGTACACATCTGAAGGGAATAAATTGCTAAGAAAGGTATAGGGCATGTCCCAATTTATAAACAGCTACTACAAATGCAACTAATGGTGGAACTGAGTAGAGATTGTGTATGGAGATGAAAAATGGAGCACATCTGTGAATTTGAGCCTAACGTACAACTCACAAATGAAGTTGACCATCAGATCTATTTCATTACTAACCAAAATTGTCCAGTTTTGCTTGAGTTAATTTCTGGGCTGTCTCAGCAGCAACTGCTTAAATTGAATTTTGCATATGCCAGGTAGCCTATATTATAAGTCAGGCTATATGCCAAATACCTTCTCTATTTGGTGCAAATCCATCCAGCTGTTTCTGAGGAAATTAGAAAAGTGACCCTAAATGCACCCCACATGGATTTTGTATACAACACATTGTGTATGTTTAAATAAGATCTTCTCCAAAAACCTGCCAAAATTAGTAGAAATCAATCAAGCTGCAGTAACATACATAGAACTTAATTTTATTTACGTAGC